ACCTTCTTGGAGCACATTCACTCTGCAACTTTAAATTCTTTGCAGATCAAACACACAGCAGACTGAACTTGCAATGCAAAATAAACAGTGAAATTCAATGTATCTCTCTGGTTGTTTTTTTTTTTCAAACTGCTGTTTCTTCGCCGTCCTCAAATTGTGCTTCTCTTCTTACAAAGCCCTTTTAAAAAACAACAACAACAACAAAAAAACAAAAAACACAATTAGACAATATTTTTCTCTGTAGCTTTCTGTCTCACCAAGGAATCTGTCAATCACACCCTTATAAGGACTTTGGGATATACCGAGCTGCCATTCACTGCCACTTGCTTCAAAGTGGCTCAGGTGCAGATTCCTCGTTATCCCCTATTCCCAGTGCCATCCTTCCCCTGCACTGAAAAGGCAATATTTTCAAGAAAACATACAAAAACAGTTGATAGAAGATGTAAGTTGTGACAAAGACCAATCACATGAAATGTTTTCTTTTTCTTCCATACAGTAAATGGAACTTGCTCGTTTATATTAAGTTACACTGTGCGCATCTAGCTCCAGCAGTCGTGGGGGAAAAAACAAAAAACTATGCAGTGAGATATCTGGGACATAGCTGTAATTCCATAGTTTGTAGATTATAGGTTTCAATGGTAAAGTTGTAGGCTATAAAATATTTTGTGTGTCTCCCCATGGTTGACAGATTCAGCTTTAATATCCAGACAATAGTTTAAGACATTCTTGTAATTTCTGTTTATTTTGTTGAGTAAGTAATGGTGCATATTTGTAAACTGAATAAAAAAAAGTTAGGAATGAAGCCTAAAGAGTTCATGTAAAACATGAATGAATCATATTTCTTTTAATGCCTAACAGAATTACTATTTTCTTGTTTTTTTTTTCAGTGTCAACAATTGGAGTAAAGATATAATTTATATTTAACTGGTAAAAAATTCAAATAGTGTAATGTTAAAAAAAAAGACATATTTGTCTATCTATGAAGAGCAGACTGCTGAAATGTAGTTATTAATACAGATATTTAACACGTGGTGCACAAAAGTGTTTATCATCAAAAACAAAATAATACATATTGAAAAGAAAAGTGAGTAAGGTGGTTCTATAACTTTAAATAGTTCTTTCGAGCCTTTGTACCGTTACAGCTGTTATAATTAGTCATCACAATCTGCACTCCAAGAATCCCCTTTACCATCTGAATGTGAGATTTGATCAGGCATTAAATGGCAACTTCATGAAAAGTCTGTTCTAAATCTTTTGTGGTAGAGATGATATAGATATTGGTTTATAGCCAACACTTTATTTACCCCATTAAAACTAATATTATTGTGCTCAATAGACCAATCTCTGCTATTTTGTTTGTTTGAAGTGTAGGTCTTTATCAGTACTCAGTCAATGGGGATTTCCAGACAATGCATAAAGTACACACAGATATGAATGAAGAGACGCTTCAGCTTAGTGGTGGAAGTACTGAGACTGACTGAAAGAAGCAATCCAGAACAAAGCTTTTCAGAAGAACTCATTATAAATACAAGGTCTTCATTCAAAACTTGACTTAAGCCTATAATAAGCTGTAAAAGTCAGCATACTCAAAGAATGGCTGCTTTCATGTTACTGTACTGCTAATGTATGATCATTTCAATGAGTGGTTGAGCTGGAGCTTTTTAGGCACCTAGGCCCTTTGACGGTGTGTCGTATTGCATTGTAACATATTTCAAAAGATAATTATATGTTTGTGCACAACATTATTATTAATGATCGAGTTAAAGCAGTGGAACAAATAACCCAATATTTGGAAAGGCAATGTGACATACAAAGAAGCTGACAATGGAAGTACTGAAAGTACATGAAAACAGTACCTTAGCAGAGTATATGGAGCTCTAAATGTCTGGACTCTAATCTTTCATCCGTATAATACAGGCATCTCAGACACAAAACACAGGAGCTCCACACACCTGGTTTTCAAACCTTCTGTTTGTGAGAGGCAATAAATCAGAAGAATTTAACTATAAAGGACAGGGGAGAGCTGAAATGCGTTGTTTATTTTGAACTGTGGTTCAAGCAAAGCTATTCTCACAGAAAAAAAGAAAAAAATTAGTTGGAAATTCATATTGTAGGTCCCATTTAAATACTGCAGTACCACTTTCTATTTTTAAAAGGAAATAATGTACTTTGTACTCTGCTACATTATTTCAAAAGCATGAATTTCTTCTTCTTATTTACCATTTGACTGAAGTAAAATGACAATAATATGTATATTCTAACATTTGGCAGCTATCTTGAAACACACAGACAACACCTTGAGGCAACTATTGTTGTGAATTGGCACTACATAAATAACATTGAATTGAATCACCAGTAAAATCTGATAAAAATGAATACAGCAACAAAATATAGTTTTAAAAATCATGTTTCCTTTGGAAAATATACTTCTACTACCATATTCACTCTTGCATAATTCTCTCCTTATAATAAACATATTTTACTTTAGGTGTCTTGGGAAGATAATACATTTGCACTTTTACTTAACCTCCTAAGACCCAAACTCTTCCATGACATGCATTTTTCATTTCTCTTTGATATTTGGGCTGATTGGGACCTGAAGAATGTAAAAACAAAGAATTATGAGATTTATTTTTTTTTACCTAATTTTTGTTTATAAGAAAAATGAGAGCCACATATGAGCATATACATTTAAAATTTCAATAGAACAGTTGCAATATAAGGTCCTCATAAGTGGATATCAGGCCCTTGCAGAGCAAAATTGAGTATTTTGGTCTACATAACCCAAAATGTGATGTCCACATATGTGAACGCAGGTCCTAGGAGGTTAAGTTGGGTTGCTTCTTTTAGTCACTGATATAATTTTTGCATTCCCAAATCCCCCTCACCTCCTGACTAGTCTTTGTCTCCCCTTGTGCCACTTTGTTTAATCTTTACATACTACTCATAGAAAGTATTTTCTAGGGCTTTACAGCACTCATTTTTGGAGAAAAACACCAGGTTTCACACAATATCATATACTGTTTTACCTAAAATACATTTATAATTTACTATATTTTAATCATCCATCCATCCGTCTTCTTTTTACTGCTCATATGGGTTCAGATTGTGAGGGCAACAGTCTACGCTGAGAAGCCCAAACCTGGCCAGCTTTTCTAGCTTATCCATTATAAAAACCAAGTTGTTCCCAGACAAGCCAAGACATAATTCCTCCAGTGAGTCCTGGGTCTCCTCCTGGTAGGACGTGCCTGAAATGCCTTACCTAGGAAGGGACCGAGAGGCATCTTAATTAGTCAGATGCCTGTAACACCTCAACTGGCTTTTTGCAATATGGAGAAGCAATGGCTCTACTCAGTCCTTCTCAAATGAACGAGCTCCTCGCTGTCACAGGTACTACCCGTCAAAGGAAACTCATTTCTCAACTGATTTATATCAGGAAGCTCTTTCTTTTGATCACCACCCAGAGCTCATGACCACAGGTGAGGGTAGTAACGTAGACTGACCTGAAGCTCTTTCTTCCCCACAACAGATTAGTAAACTGTCCATAACACTGCGGACACTGACTCAGTTCATCTGTCCATTCTCCTCTCACTCATGAACAAAATCCTGAGATACTTAAACTCCGCAACTGGGAGCCAGTGGGAGAAGAAACTTGTCTCAGAGCGGGCACTCTACAGATTTTCTGGCTAAGAAACATGGTCTCAGACTTGTAGGTGCTTACTGTCATTCCCACCACTTCATTCTTGGTCGTAAACCACTCTAGTACAAGCTGAAGTGGTTGATGAAGCCAACAGAATTATAAATATTAAAAAACATAAAAGTTTATGAACAGAATGGGTAAAGGGCAGCCCTCGTGGAGTTCAACACCCACCAGAAATGTGTCTAACTCACTCCTGGAATACAGACCAAACTCATGCTGCAGCTATACAGGTACTGAATGGCACATAACAACAGTCAAGATACTCCATACTCTGAAAACCGCATTGTTCCTGCTGCATCCGAAGTGTGACAAACAGACAATCAGACCTCTCTAATACCCTTCCCGGGAAGGCTCCTGATCTCCCTTTAGTTGAAAGCATACCCTCTCCTTGAACAGGCAAACCACACAACATTGGAGTGACATGGTGGCCTGGAATCAGACTACCAGGACCATTGCACCTAACTGTTGTTCAGTCCACAAGTTACTGAACCCCTATAGCCTCTCCTGTGGGTGGTGGTTCCACAGAAGAGCAGACCCATATAGCTTCTTTGAGCTAAGCCCAGTCAGATTGCATGGGCTAAGACCTGGCCACCAAGTGCTCACCCTCGAGCTCCTACTTCAGGACTGGCTCCAGGGTGGGATCCCAGTAACTCTGTCCAGGGCAGAGTAAACTGGACCTTTGATTTGTTTTCCCCGCAATCATCATAGGGGTTTTTGTTATAACATAACATTATAACATTCTGGAACTGTTGGGAATTCATTATCCCATGTATAATCATTACAGCCATTAAACACTGACCTCACTTCTGTTTCATGTCTCTTTCTCTTAGACACACACAAAAAACTATACTTATAGTAACTAGTCTGTGCACTCAAAGCAATTTTACAAAACCTTGCATGCGTGGCATTTGCACGTGTTCCCCACACTTTCTGAAATGGTATCATATGGAGACACACACAGTTCTTGTGACAATGGCAAAGTCTCGCTTGAACTCCATCACCACTGTCTCATCACAGAAAGAAAATAAAAACAACAACAATAAAAAGAAAAAACAAGTCACAGACAAGACAGTTTCAATGTGACCCAAAACAAACATTTTCTTTGATTTGAGTCACAGTGGTTGATCTAAAATCCGCATCAACAGATAAAAAATGTGAAGCACCGACACAACAGTATAAAATTAAAAATTATTTGGTTTTTTTTGTTTATACTGTATCACTTCAGTAAAAGTGCACTTCAGATGCACTTTGTTACATTTGTCATGTTTTACACCTGCACTTTAACCCCGTGTTACCACGGCAACGGCAACGCGTCACACACAGGACTCCACCACACACACACACGCCGGTGAATCGGTTTCCGGTTCGGGTCTTTCTCCTGCAGAGAAGGGCTTCATGGCGGTAAAGAGGATATTTAAAGACTGAAATGCCAAATCCCGAGCACTGTCTTTCGGTGTCCGGTACTCTCGCTTTAACTGGAAAAATCGGTGCAAGTGGAGTCAGCGGCGCATGGAGTGGATCGTATTGAGAGCTACTGCAGCCAGTCAAGTCTTCTTAGTGGAGTCAAAATGGCGTCTGCGTGCCCACTCAGCTCTCGTCTAATCCGTTTGTGATTATTAGCGTGACAGCTCCATACATCCACCCTTGATTCGTTTCTACCGTTTCGGTTTCAAGCACTAAGTGCTTTTAAAAAATATTTTGTAGCGCCATGTCGGACTCCGAGGAGGAGAGCCAGGACAAGCAGCTAAAAATCGTAGTTGTGGGAGACGGAGCGAGTGGGAAGGTGAGACCACCACACAGACACAAACACAAAAACGAACACCTACTCAACGTTAATTAAGAGGTAATGCTCGAGAAAATGTAACTTGTCCACACTGCACACCATTTTTGCCTACTCAGTCACTTTCTGCTGACACTGTGCTGTCCACGCAGTAACCATGGCGACCGACGCTACTGTAGCCACGGCTGCTAATTAGCTAACAACAACGACAGAGGTAAATCACAACAACATCAACGTAACCCGGGGCGATTATGATTAAAGCTGACGTTTACACGGTCAAATAAACGCCTCAGTCCACGTGTCACTTTAGGTTCTCAATAAATTTTAGCCCACTTCTAGCTGTTATTCAGCACCTGTAGGGCTAACAGGCTAGCCAAGGACACACAAAACGAAAGCTGACGCTAAAGACAGTCAACATCAGATGATGTTCAAAGGGTATAATTTATCTTTCGGATTTTTATTTGTCATTTTTACATTTTCATATTCAACCAATTTCATACCATACGGCTAATCTGTAAAGTACAAGTAAATTACAGTGACTAATAAAAATCAAATTTCCCCCTCAGCCATTGAGTTGCTACGTTTAGGCTTGTGGATCAGGAAAATGGCAACTGGACTAGTACCGTGACTTTCTACTGAACTGCCCCAACCTCTGAGCAATTCATACACCACATTTATTTATGTCCAAGCGCTTTCTAACATTCACACACTCCAGTGGTTCTGTGGGTGGGGGTAATTTGGGCTTTAGTGTCTCACCCATGAATACTTTGGCATGCAGACTAGAGGAGTCATGGATCAATCCACCGAATTTCTGATTGGTGGACGACCCAGTCTTCCACCCACACAGCCACAGGATGTATTTTGTTTTATTCAATATATTGGTATATTAAGGCTGTAGTTTCAGCTGTATGGTTGGAAGCTTTTTTTTGCCTTTTTTGCCTATTTTTGAGCAGCACTTTAAATTCAATTAAAGCGTGTGAATAAATTGTCAGCCCTTGTGCTCCACAAACCACACAGCTACAGGAGAATGATAGTTTGTTTAGTATTTAATCCCACCCGTGACTTTGTGTTTACAGGGGGGTAACTAATCCTCAACGTCACTTCACTCCTACATTGTAAACCAGTAACACAGCTAGAAGAGATATGTAACCATAACAGATATGTTAAAGCTCCCTAATTTCATTTCAACTAACACAATGTCATGGAGCATGCTGGAATATCCCGTGCAGTCGCTCCTAAGATGCTACACTATGCACAGCATTGGCAGTGTGTTTAGGATTATTGTCATGCTTGAAAATAAAGCCGCTGCCACTGAGATGCTTTCCAGATGGTATTGCATAGTGGCATAGTGGATAAAATCTGATACTTGTACTTTTCTGCAATCGTAATTTTATCAATTTTGACAAGATCCCCAACACTTGTTGGCAGCAGTGCAGCCCCAAACCATAAAAGAGCTTCCACTGTGTTTTTCAGATGACTGCAGTCGGTGTTGTGCCTCTCTGCTGACCTCAGTACATGCCTACAAACATTTAAAATTTGGAGTCATCACTTCATAATACTTAATGCATGATTTTCAATGCGGTTCTTGTATATTTAGGATAGCAGCATTTCTCCCTGTTTCCCTTCCTTAAGAATGGCTTTTTATAGATTCAACTAAAGAAATGGAAACATTGTGAAAAATTGTTTTTACTAGCAGCATTGTGAGATGCTGCTAGTAAAAAATGCCCAAGGGTATATAATATAACACTGGTTCTTCCCTGAGTTAGATCCCTTTTTATTTTTAAATTATAAAGTCAGTGGCTTAACAATGAAAAATCTAAGGTAGGAGGATTGGACTGAAAATAGATGGAAAAAGCAGCTAGTGTCCAAAGAAAAACTTGGAAATCCTTTCAGCAAGCCAGGAGAACTACTGCTCAAAACCCCTTTAATAAATACAATAAAGTCATGCTGTTTGGAAGAAAAATATAAAGAAATAAAGGATGGCTCGAGACTTCTGCACAGTACTCTCGTTTGCAGGGAGAGGATAATAGAATGAAGATGTTACAAGTGAGCAACAAGCTTTGCACTGTACTCCTTTTGTTGTCAGAGTTTTCCTATACTTACGGTAAATCTTTGCATACCATTAATGAAAGTGCAGCGTTGTTAGCGGCTGTTGAACAACCTATTTCAGTACAAATAATCTACTGAAAATCAGTGATGTGACGATTTAATGACTGTCATTATGCCTGTCTAAAAGCTTGGCACATGAGTGAGCCCTACAACACTGGGGAACTGTGCGTTTACATTTTATATTTACTATGAGGAAATAAGGATAAAACCTAATTACCACAGAACGGACATAGGGGTACAATAAACAGCAGCATGAACTAAATCCTGTAAAAGTTTGAGAAATCTAAACCGGGTTTTTCTGGATGTAAGAAGATAATCTTTATCTTAATGCAAATACACAAATTTCCTCCAAAAGTTATTCACTGGTGTTCCAACTTAAAAAAAAAAGGAGTTTATCAATGTTTCTTTTTGCCCAATAAGAAAATCCAGGGGTCTGTTTTTACAGAGTTCATGGACTGTAGTTTTGATTCTATCTCAAAGATAGCTGATGGACTTAAACCAGAAGCAATCTGTTGTTCTAAACCTATTAAGTCTACCCAGCCCTTAATCCATGTTGCATGTGCTGCTGAACATAGTTTTAGGACATGTGCCTGTGGTTTGGCCCTGTAATGTAGCGCTGAGATTGAATTTATGCCATGAAAAAATATTTGTTTATGCATTTATCCACAGTCTAATTGCCACCCACAGCTTGTATTTCAGTTCAGGAGGATTTGTCTTTGTCAGACCCTGATGAAGGCTTCTAGATGATAATGTGTTGGTCTGTTATGTTGTTTCTTTTTTGTGCACGTGTGCTTGAAAAAAAAAGTTAAAATATCACGTTGGTTATTTTTTATCGTTATACTTGAGCCACATAATACAGTACCTGGATTTAAAGGATTTTGTTTTAAATTCTGTTTTCATCCAGAGCTGTTTATCAGTATGATGTGTAGACTCTGGGACTTCACGTGTCCTGTTAAAGTATTTTTATTTGTAAAAATCTTTCCTGCCAGAATTTTATCAGTCTGCTTATTCTATAACTTTTCATAGTCATACTAAAATAAAATTTACTTCAACAGAAACTGGAGGACAATCCTTAACTTATTGGATAAAAATGATTGGAAACTATAGTTTATTACATTAAAATGTTTTAAAACTTGCGAGAGATAACATAAACATTACAGGTATGATAAACACAAATATAGGCGTTAAATGAAAAAGCTTGTTCCAAATTAAAATATTTCAACAAAACATATCATTTATGCTTAAAAAATCTTTTTCTGACCACCTTGTTTCAGTGAAATGCATATTTTCATTTTTCTGAATAATAATCAAAGCATGGTGATGAATTCTCCAAGTCCCTTTATATTAAATTGCTGTTGTTCTCGCGTCTAAAACTCGGCACTGTGTAGGAACATAGAGGGTATAACAGTTGATAAAGACTGCAATTTGCTTTGCCTGGCTTTTGCAGCTGCTGGTTGTTTTCCATCAGTATGCCTTTTCTCTTCTGGCCAAGGACTCTCATTTGGCTCCAGAGAGAGGCCCTATTTAAGAAAATTATGCCTGGAAGCCCTTTTGAGAAATGTTGCTGTTTTCTCAGTTGATAGAATAAAATAACAGTGGGAAGAAAAACACATATGAAGACTTGTAATATAGTTGTTGCATTGCTAAACCTACACAAGCTAGTTAGTTCCTGTCCCCTTTCAAAGGCACTGGACTGAATCATATTCATTAAAGTCACTTAAAAAGACTTGGAATAAAAAGGCCTAACTTACATCAACAACAGTGGATTTTTTCCTAGTTACACCAAACAATCATTTGCAGCAGTGCATGGAGGTTGTCATGACAATTCGGCTATGTTTCGTCGTCTTCTTCTTCACCGCATCTCGAATCCCAGAGTGAACATGAATGTAATGCAGGGATGTCAAGTGCCTGTCGGCTACACATCCCCTTTCAAAACTGATTTCTCGGTCCTCTGGGAGAAAGAAAATGAATGTAGCAGTAATGGTGAGACCCAATGAGAAAAATGAATGTTCTCATTCTGGAAAGTCGACATTTTTTTTCTTTTGGGGTGTGTGTGCAGAGAACACACAACTCAACTCAGTTCCCAGTAGATACGCTACATTAATAACCCTCCTCACGCTGCTGCCAGGTGTCAGCTCGTCACTGTCTGAATGACTTACCTGCTTGTCTGTTTTGGGCAGAAAACAGGAGCCCTGCCCCCCGTTTTTGAGTAGGCACCGCTGACTGACATCTTGAATGCCGTTTCCCCCCTTATTAATGTCAATTTGCTCAGCAAATTGCAATCGGATCCGTTTTTCTTGGACAGCATTTTCAGCGATATTTTTGCTTGTGGTTGGTTGTCCATTCAGAAGTACAGCGAGATGTGGGGAGGCTTGTCCACCTGAGCGAGATGTTTTTAAAATATGGAGTCTCACATTTAGCCAGGCTCTTAAGGTGCTGGGTCTGACTTACACACAGGTCCATTTTTCAACCTGAGTTATAAGCCACTCGGTTTTTCCTAAATATTTGCTGTTCTCTGACCCATAGGCTAAAAAGGAGCTTTAGGCGCAGGCCCTGTACATTAATGGATATTAAACAACACCAACATTTATATTGGTTTTAACTGTTTAGGGAAAATAAGGAGGCAGTTTGATACCATGCTCCCTCTTTTGAATTGCATCACATTGCTTGCCATATTTTTTCCCCCCCTCTCCCTGTTTCTTGTTTCAGTAGAACTTCCCCCCATTTCCCGGCATTGGTATCACTGTTGACCCTGTACTGTTCTCTGTTTGAGTGTCAGGATTACGCCAGCTTTTACATTCGCTGGTTAGCTCCAATTGTACGGTGGAAAAAAAAGGACTACGCAGAGGGAAGTGAGCCAAGCTACTGAAATGCCAAGACAAATGGCCAACGAGGCCAACACGAGCATGTGGAATAAATTTTTGCTGTCCGAGCTTGTTATGCCTGTGTTGTCAGTGATTGTTTGGGCTACTTAAATGACCGATTTTCTCCTTGTTGCGTCAGTCAACTCTAGTAATTTTTCAGTCACTCTTGAGTCTGTGACACACTTCACAGGCTGAGATTAAAAAAGTCTGCAGGTCTTGAACCTTTAGAGAATTAGGGGGATAAAACCTTATTCTGCACCCCGAAGGAAATGTGAATCAAAAGCGCCTTTGGCAAAGGTTAGAATTACTCAATCAACAGAGTTAATTAAAAGATTAGGTTTACTTATAGTGGCATTCACAAGAAAACAAAAACTATTTACTTTAAGAAATTCTTTGTAAACCTTGATAAGGGGTGTCTGAAATGGCACCTACCCTGGAGAAATAGGGGCAAAAGCCTGTGTTATTTGAAGCATTATCTGACTGTACCTAAAGCTGCTGAGCATGAATGGAGGTAGATAAGGGCACGGGCTCAAGTGAAAGCTTAATGGATTGAAAGAGAATTTAGTTTTAAGTCCTCTAACCCTCAGTGATTGTCAAGCACCACATTAAAATGCATTTTCTGCCACATGAAGACTCAGGGAATCCCACTGCTTCACTTCTCCGTTGTGTTTATGCAAGCACACTGCTCTAAAGATAGCTAATAGATGTTCAGCACCTCATTTTTCCCCCTATCCTCATCCATCAAAATGAATTAAACTTGGAATGTCAGGCCTGCTCTATGAATTCCCATGAATTTTCACGACA